GATTCTCTACCATTATATAACAATTTAGGTAATATTATCTTAGATGGTAATATTACAGACCTTTTAGATGTAAGTCAAGTTGTATCATATAAGTTTCCACCATTCACACCACCAATTGTAAATTATTATGAAAAGTCGCCAAAAATATTGTCATATAAAAAAAACCCTGTTGTACATGATATTGATGTAAATACTATAAGAGTGTATTTTACTGATGATGTACCAGATAATCAAATATGTAATAATCTTGTAGATGAAAATGATCTAATTTTACAAAATTTTATCAATAATTTATTTTCACCAGTACTTAAAATTAATATTATTGTACAATTATTTGTACAGTATAAAAAAGAACATAAATTAAATATAAAAATTAATAGACTTAAATCTATACTACCAATGTACAGATATTACATTGTAAATGGGCCATTTAGAAAATGTTGGGTACCATTTGGATATGATCCTAAAAAAGATAAACAGAATTATAAATATCAAATTATAGACTTGAGGGCAGAAGGAACATTCTTCCATTTATTTGAAAAAGATACAATAATTAAGGAGGTAGAAAATAATCTTGAATGGTATGTTAAAGATGACTGTGATATAAAGAATTGATTTTTTAAGAAAACACTCAGTCAATTAGTCTTGTATCAGAATTATGTAGAATTTAAGAAATCGAAAGAGGATAATGATTGTTTTGAAATATTTGACTAGGTACATTGAGAGCTATTTTCGAGGGTAGTGTTTTGATTTAAGTTGAACGGAAATTTATAAGATCATTAATTTATTAACATTTTGTTTTAATTTTAGGATGTCAGTGTTATGCTATATAAATTAGAGATTTAATATTTTTATTATTTAAAAACTTATGTTTTGTATTTTTAACAAGTTATATTGTTTTACAGTGCAAAAAAATATCAATATTATGTTACAAATAATGGACTTAATATACTACTGTAAGACTTATTTTTTGTTTTATTAACAAGTTATATTGTCTTATAATTTAAAAAGATTTTATTTATGACGCCATAGTCAAATTATAAAACTATAAAAATACACTAATTCTAATATTTATATAGTTTTTATTAATCTAGCCCAGTTTCTTACAAATAGTATTAATAATAGTTATTAAAAATTTTGCTTTTAAATTATTTAAACTTATTTTTTGCCATTGCTGCCACAGTTTCATTTTTTTGACTCATTTGTGTTTGGTGTTTCAGAATAATAACAATTTATTTTGCATAAATGCACCCCTTAAATGAATACATCTATGACTTCTCTACCAGAAAATATCTATCCACAATACCGAGCTAGGACTACTAAAAAAGGAAGATTTCTTATAGAAGATTATAGTGATTGTGTAGTGAAAGATTACAATAAATTTATTGTTAATCTAAAAAGTTGTGATTTAAAGCAATCAAAGATCAATGAAGATAATTTAAAAAAGATTATTAAAATCATAGAAATACAAAATACACAAATAAAACTCATAAAAGAAGTTATTGGTAAAGATGATATTTTGTGTCCTTTCTTTAACAAGACATGTGATACTATTAATACATTACTTGATGATGTTAAGAGTAAGTTTAACGAATAGTTTATAATGAAAACTAATGATTAAAAAGATATATTGTAATATTGCACTTTATAATATTTTTTATACTTTTTCTAGTATTTAAATCTTTATTGTTTTTAGCAAATAATTATTTTTATCGCTTTATATTCATATTATAAATTTTGTTTTTATCATTCAAAGTAAAGCATTTTAGTTTACCACTGCATTTTCCCATGATGCAAAATACATTTTAAATTATTTTGCAAATATAATTAATATTAGATGCATAAAATTTGTAAATATTATAAATTTATTTTAATTAAATAAACTTAATATCTTTTTTATTTTAATCACTTATTATCAAAGAATATTTACATTGTTAGTATTTTAAAATAGAAATTACCTTCTTAAATATTTATTAAAATTTAATCTTTGAATAATTAAAAAATAAAAATTATTTATTAAATAATAAAAAATTACTGTAAGTTAAAGTTTTTTAAATTGTAAAATTTCATTTTAAATTTTAGTTTATAAAACTTAGTAATATTTAAAATTTCTACCCATAATGAAATCAATTAAATTTTTAATAGCTGATATTTTTAATAAAAAATTAAATATTCACATCGATAAAATTGTAAAACAGTCAGATGCCTACACCAACCTTGTTTATAAAGTAGACAGTGGAAATGAAAGTTTTATATATAAAAAATTTGAACATTTAAACTTATTTGAAAATCTAGTGCTAGAAAAAATGTCTCTACCTGAGATTCTTGTATCAGAACATGATTATAGAATTGAGAGGTTTATAAAACATAAAAAAGTAGATTTTAAAAATGATTGTAAAGAAATAGCTGTAGCTTTAAAAAAGTTTCATACAACAGAAATAAAAGATTTTATAAATTTTAAATGTCTTTTACTTACAGAAATAAATAAAATTACTAATGTAAAAATATCAGAAATATTAGAAAATGCATCAATAAAAATATTTAATATTATAAAAAATAATCAGGGTAAGAATGTTTTATGCCATAATGATCTACAGCCTAATAATATCCTTAAGACTAATACAATAATATTTATAGATTTTGAATACTGTTCTATAGGAAATAATTTAGTAGATATTGCGAATTTATTTTGTGAGACAGAAATAGACTACGAGAAGAATGTCTATATTAAAGGTTCGGGATACACAGAAGAAGAAAGAATTCTTTTTTTAAGGAAATATTTTAATAAAAATGATGTAAAATGTGAATTACAAAAAATTAATAATCTAGAAGTAGTCAGTCACTTTTTATGGTTTGTATGGAGTGTTTATATTATAAAATCTAACAATAATTCAGAGTTTGACTATAAAAAGTACAGTTTATCTAGATTACAATATCTTAACAATATATTTACATCTGATGAGATAAAAATATTATTATCTTATTTAAATAGTGTATGAATATAAAATCATTTTTATTACTGGCCTTGCTTTGTTGTATTAAATTGAAATAAAATAAATTTTTAAAAATAATTATATTTTATTATAAGATATAAACAACGATCTATGCATCTAAATAAATAAAAAATGTAACTATTTTATTTCAATTAATTACTGCAAAATAAAATACTTATTAGAATTTAAAAATTTAGATTCGAACTTTTTACAATAATTTTAAAAATCTAAAAATTTCAAAAATATATTAATTTTTAATATATTTTATGCAAAAAAAAATTAATATAAAATTTTTATGTTATTAAAACTTTTTTTTAGTTAGTATTATTTATTTCTATTGCTTTTTTAATGATATTTAATAAAAATAGAATCATAAATTGAAAAAAAAATATTTTAAATTTAATATTATTGTTTTATGTAATTTATGATGATTTGATAAAATAAGTCGCAAAAATTTTATTGAAGTTCTTTTGGTTATAAACTAAAAAAAATAATCTAATAATATTGCAAAGAATAGGTATTTAAAACAATAACATGCATTTAAATTGTTTAAAAAATTTTTATTTTTACTTATAATATTTCTTGACTTTTTGTGGTTTTTTATACAATATGTCAAACACGGACCAAAATTATTTAGTCTAAATTAGAAATTACAAAAATAAATGTATATTTATTTGTAATCAGTATCTACAAGAAAATTAATTTGTTACTTTCAATTATAAAATCAGAATTTTATTTTTTTGAACTTGCATGGAATGTGTAATTCTTTGATGATGTCTTTACCAAAGTTTTACTTCTTTAAATCTCCTTGACGTCGTTTTTTTTAAAAAAAAAGTAATTTCGTTTAAGATAAAATATAAGCATAAATTTGATTTCGAATTGTCTGCTTATTTCTTTGTATATTAAAATTATTCAATACCACCAATTATATGCTATAACAATTAATACTATCTTTTCTATTTAAACTTTAGAAGTTTTCAAAAAATATTAAACTACTTCTGCAATAAAAAACACTTATTTTTGATAATTCGTAAATCTAATCTTTGTGTTTTGAATTCAAATTCGTATGTACAATTTTGCACATTCCGATACCAGTAAAATTATTAAATCTTTTTTGCATCTAATGATCTCTATACATTTTCTTTTAAATAATATTATATTATATGCATAATAATAAGCAGATGCGTTGTAAATCTTCATTAAGTTTTCTTTTGTATTAAACACAAATAACTTTTTATACATGTTTTAATACGATCGACAGTCTTATTTTTTTTCTTGTAGTGCGTAAATAAAAATGATCCAAAAACACATTATAATCCTATAAATAGCAAAACACAGCTTCTAATGTAACAGGAATATCTTCGTGAGTTAGACGGAAAAAAAATTTATCAATGCTATCTTGTATAACTTCTTGTATACAATTTCTTTTTAATTTTGATATATACTCTATTTCTAAACTTATTTTTATTTTTCTATGTCTAAATCATCTGTAAGATTGTATTAATTTTTATAATATCTGTCTATAAAATTCAAGTAAGTCTTTTTATTAATATGTACCTATAAACAACTTGTGCTTTTCTATACATGTTTAAAAATTAAGTATTTCATATAACATTGTTTTAATTTTGTATTCAATAAAACTTCTTTTAAACTTAATTTTATGTAAGTATAGGTTGTATACGTACTAGTCGTTGATGTATTTCTTTATTATATATTTAATAACACTTTGTTCTTATTTAAAACTTGTTGAGTAAAACATAGGTTTAATTATTATAAATTATTTAAATATAGACATGTCAAATTTATCTTCTAAATATCATAAGATTTGCCAAAAGTGTTCCTTTCACTCCTAGCAAAGTGTTCATTACATTTTATTTGTAAATTTATGACTTATAAATTTTTTATTTCGCATAACACCCATGGAAAAAAATGATGAAAACATTGAAGAAATCCTAAACAAATATGGAGTTAAAGATAAATTTTTAAATAGTTTCGATGCCATGCTTACAGAATATGACTTTAAATCTAAAATAAATACACATCTTAAAAATAAATTAAAACACAAGAAACTTGAAGATGTATCTGAATCTGAGACTTATGATATTATTATGGATTTTATGACTAAAAATTTACCTGAAGAAGTGCAGGAGAAATTGTACTATGAAATTAGAAAATTTATTGATGACAATTTAGAATTTTAAAATGAATAAATAGAAATATGTTATAAATGTATCATAAAAGTTCTTATTCATATAGCATTATTTAATTATATATACTATTAACATTAAAATTATTTATTAAATTGTCTCTTTTTTAACAAAGAAATTAATAAATTATGTACCTTACTGTCAGTTACATCATTCATTTCTTCCGCCTTAGCAATAAGTTTATTTATTTCTTCATTGTAAATATTGAAATATCCCTTTACTATTTTAAGTATCTCTTCACTTACTATTCCAGTTCTAAAATATTCATTAACTTCATCTGAATCTTCTTTAACTAATTTACAGGTAAAATAAGTTAATTTCTTCTCTTCCAAATCATTACCTGATTTTTTACTGAGCTCTGGAAAGAAGTTTAAGTAATCATCTTGCATTTGAAATATCATCCCAATTATCTTACAGTACTCATACAAATAAGATGGTTCTTTTCTACCACTAAATAAATATCCAGATACTAGTGGTAAATAAAAGGTGTATATTGCTGTTTTGTATTCAATAATACGGTTATAAAATTCTACAGAATATTCTTCTTTACTCTTCTTCTTAGAGTCTAATATTTGACCTAGGCACGTATCAAGTATACAATTATAATATGTAGCTCTTAGCGGTGATCTTTCATTTTCTCCTCTAACCATCCTTAAATATTTACCTAGTGCACTAATAAGATACTGTGCGTATTTCAAGCAGATCAACCCTTTCTTCCTGTAGTAGCACTCTACTCCCCGTCTTATACAAGATTCATCCATAACATCATCTGCTACAATAAAAGCACTCTGTAGCAACTCGTAAACACAACTAGTCTTAAGAGATAATTCTGTACTATTAATATCAGATATAATAAGATTAAATAATTCAGCCCTGTATCCTTTACCTCCTACTGTGTTGTAGGTTATAAAAGACAATATTTTATTTAAGTCACAAAAATCAGTGAACTTAACTAAATCATCATATATTTTCAAATAGAAGGAAGACATAAAGGGTAAATAAATAAGAATTATTAATTAAAATTGTATTTAAAAGGAAAAGTGATTAACGTTGTGAGTGCACTAGTGAAAAGGGAAGTGCTGGAAAAGAAGTTAGTACAAAAAAAGTTATAAGAGGATGATAGAGCTTATTAGTACAATAAATATACTATGAACTGTGAAGAAATACAATCTGTAAATAATACCTACATTAATTCATTAAAATTCAATTTGTGACTCAATTAATCACTATTTATTTTATTTATATAAATGACATTTTTAAAAACAAAATTTAATTTATTTTTAAACAAATTTATGCAAATTTTCTATAAATAAACTTAAAATTTCGCAATATCGCATAATTGAAAATTAGAAAAGAAAAAAGAATTTATTTACTAATTTAAAGATAATACTATAAAACTAAACAGAAATATCACCAGTATTCTTACTATTCTAAACTTCAATCCACCATCACACTCATTCATTAACTCCTGTAAAAGTATTCTATAAATACAACAATAAGGAGATAAGGAGAGTTAAAGGAAATACTAAATGATATAAAAGATATAGTACACTAATCAAGTTTATTACATGTCACCACACACCTCAAAATCTTTTAATCTTCTTTGCACATGCTTTAGTGCTTCTTTTGTCTCCTTTATTTGATTGAGAAGAAGTGCTTCTTTATAAGCATCCATAGTGCTCTGTAAACTATTTAGCTGACTTTCAAATTCTCTTAATTCTTCAATATACATTTTCTCATCCTTTTTAAGTCTTAACATTGATGCTTTAGATAAATTATCTTGATTGTGCATAACGGGGTAAAATAAAAATAGTTTACATTTCTACTATAGATATATATAATAGGTAAAGATATATTTGCATACGCTTTTATTTAATAAACAATAACAAATGGTGTGTTAGTACCACAAGTATATTAGTAAAAGATTAAACTTATAAGATAATTATGTGTATTATATTTTAATATTAAGTGTTTTAGATATGTTCAATACACTACATAAGAAGTTGTAACAAATTAATGACATTAATAAAGATAGTTCATTATTAGAAATAATAGATGCTAATTATAATATCTTATAACAATTAGTAGATAGATTGAACTTGTTTATATTTATAATTGACTAATTATCTTGATTTATAATACATCATAAATTTAAATGATTGTAAAAAGATAGATCATTTTTAATTCTAAGTATTTTTTATAAAAATGTATTTACTACCCTTTCATGATTTATATTATTGGAATGGGATTAGATTCATATAAAGACATCTCATTAAGAAGTCTAGAAATATTAAAGAAAGCAGACAAAATATATTTTGAAAACTATACATCTCTACAACAGAAACCTATAAGTCAATTAGAAGAATATATTGGTAAACCTATAGTAATTTGTAATAGAGATAGTGTTGAATCAGAAGACTTCTTTTTTAAAGAAGCACTAGATAATGTTATTGTAATACTAGTAGCAGGTACACCCCTGTTTGCTACAACACATATAGGACTTCTTGTAAAAGGTAGAGAGATGAATATACCAGTAGAAGTTATTCACAATGCTTCTATTTTGAATATATACGGATGTCTAGGCCTTTACTCGTATCACCACGGTAAAACAGTCTCTATACCTTACTTTACTGAAGATTGGAGGCCTTTATCTTTCTTCAATAATATTCTTACGAATATTAAATGTGGTCTACACACCCTCTGCTTACTAGATATTAAAGTTGATGAGAATAGGTATATGAGTGTGAATGAAGCACTTAATCAAATTTTATCTATTAAAAATGATGTTGTAAATGAAAAGTACAAAGTATTTGCTGTATGTAGATTTGGATCACCTGACCAATTTATTAAATATGGGACTATTGAAGAATTAATTAAAATAAATTTTGGTAAACCTTTACACAGTTTAGTGATACCTGCACAGATGGATACAATAGAAAAAGAATTAGTAGAAGAGTTATATGGGAATAAATTATAATTTTTATAAAATAATATGTTATTGTAAAAATCTGGTAGTTGACTATTGTTCATTGAATGAATGTTTCTATCTAATAGAAAATAAAGAGCAAATAAATTAACATTATATACACCTTCTTAAAAGACTACTTCTCTACAAGCAAGCATTTTTCAGTGTCTGTCTTGTCAAAGAAGTTTGTTAATTTTTAAATGTTAAAAGATATTTATAAAATTTTCTTTTTTTCTCTACACTAATATATTTTAAAATATAGTAAATAAGTGTTTTTACTAATTGTAATAAACCTAACCATATTTCATTAATTTTCCACCCTCTAAATGTCACATACAAATTCTATAAAAAAGATTTTATCGCATAAATTTATTGACGAGGTAAAGCTAAGAAAATACATTAAGAAGTTAATGATTCCTCTTGGTCCAGAGGTATGGACAGTCTTTTTAAAAGGAGGTCATTCTGATGAATACACTGCTCTCGTAGAAATGAGTTTTAATCACAATAATTCTTACACTCCTTCAGAAGATATTCTTATTTTTATCAAAAATAACAATCTTCCTTTTTTCCATCAGTTAGAAATAAACAAAAAAATTTTTCACCAAATACAAATAGACATTAAAAGACTAAACCCTAGACATGTGAAAATAGGGAACCAAGACATTTCAAAATCATATCAGAATATTTTACTACTTATATCACATAGAAGATATAATTTAGGGTATGTACAAGGGATGGCAGATTTTCTTGTTCCTTTTTTACAATCATGTCCCGAATATCAAGCGTATTTTTTATATCTTGATTTAATTAAAAAAATCGAGTTTAATATTATTAATTTACAAGGAAATCTAATACTTAGATTTAGAGAGACAATGGAAAATATTGATCCAGTTTTGTGTACATATCTAAGTGAAATAGGACTAGAGTTTCATGTGTTTAGTTTTAGATGGTTTAATTGTTTGTTTTTTAGAGAGTTTAAATATGAAGAATATCTTAAAATATTTACTTTTATTCTTGCACACAAAAACATAAATAATATTTTAATTTACATAGCAGTGGGGATATTAAGTATTTTAAAGAGTGATATAATCAGACAGGGATATAATGATAATGTGTTGATGATACAAGATTTGAATAATAGAAAGGGTGTTAAAGTGGAGAAGATACTAGAAAAAGCTAAAAGGTTGTATAAATGTAAAAAATTGTAGTGGTGTATTATTTAGCATAAAATATTACCAAAATATTATCTTTGTTATATTTAAACATTTCTAAAATTGTAAATTAATTACTTATTGCATTATTATAAGTTGTGGTGTAAAAGAAAAGTATTTGTTTTGTAATATAGAATGTGATCACTTTTTTATTTTAGAAATAAAAATGCAAAGAATTAATCTTAAATATCAACTTATCGGCTCTACTTCACGCAGCTTACAAATCCCATAGATCTATGTAGCATAATTTAACTTTCTAAAGATTATTTGTGTAGGAATAGTAGATTATGACGTGTCAAACAATCAAAAATTATATGATATATTTGATATATGGCATCCTAAATATTTGCTAGTAATTAAACTCATATTTAACTACAACAATTAATTTTTCTCTTCTGTATATTCACTAAGTGTTATTTATTAAATTTTTTACAAACACAAATATAATCATTAGAATTCTACATTTCGTTTAACTATATTTTTACCCCTTAAATGTTTATATTTCATATTTTTATGCTGTTAAATTTTTACACAAATTTTATTATTTCGACTTCTTTTGATAATTTATCTACTGTTACAAAATCTGATTTCTATGATCCATCAACTTTTATGATATACGTTTACTACAATCGGCCCGATCAAGACTGCCCTTTGTGTAAGAAATTTAATGAAAAGATATCAGAATTACCTATTCCTATTAAAAAAATCAACTTTTTTACAGAACCATTCCTTGCATCACATTTGTATATTTTTGAATTCCCTACTTTTATAATCAGGCACAAGTTAAAATCTTATGTTATTAGAGCTACTACTGTAGATGAATTATTTAATGTAGTAGAAAATAATAAGTGGGTAAACTTAAAACCCTTTTATGCATTATTTAATCCTACTACGTATTTTACTAAGATTTATGCTTATTTTTATTTTCTCTTTTATTATTTTATAGAATATCTATCAGATTATATTGAGAAAGTACCAAGTTGTGTAGTAAATGGTATTCTTACATTTATAATATGTTATCTAGTTATTTCTATTGTAAATATATTTAAGAATAAATAATATTGTTTATACATCTTAATTATTTGTAAATACCCATGAAGAAACTTAGATCTTTTACTGAAGTTTTCTCTGATTTAATTTCAAATGAATTTTCTTTAAATTTGTATTTTGGTAAAATAGTACACAAGATTACTGAACACAGATATTCACTTAACATTCTAAATCCTATAATTTTAACAAAATTACCTTCTTTATACAAATTTAAAATAAAAGGTAATGATAATCTAATAAAGAATCAATACACTACTTATATTTCAGATATAAAAGAACCCATTTCAATTACATACATACATTTTCCTAATAAAATTTACGATGTTATGATTTATCAGTATCGTGGTACTAAATCTAAAACATGTAATTCTTTTACTGTAGGAAAAGATAAAGAATTTGTATTAGAAGTGGGTGATAAAAAGGTAGATGATATTTTACAACTACTCACAGGATTGTGTGAGGATGTACATTATAAACTTAATAAGAAAGAGTAATAAGTAGAATATACTAGTTATTATATCATGTTTTTTATATCTTAATTAAATAATATACAATTTTTGTTAATCTTACAATATATTTGTTGTTTTGTAATATCTTAACTTTATGTAATATCTTACAATATATTTGTTATTTTGTATAAGTAGTCTTGTACAATAAATTTTCTTTCCTAAATTAACTTCTAATGTTTTTGATATAAAAAAATAATTTTTTCTTTTTTTGTCCTTTCATCATAAAACATCTATTTATGCTAAAATATTAAATTAACATATTTAAATACTGTCAATAACAAATTACATCCCTTTATGTTGTCATTAAATGAGAAACTAGAATTTACATCAATTATAAAATCACTACTTTTAAAACATTCATCACTAAAATATGAAATAGAAGCACGTATAGGTAAAATCTACAATAAGGAAACAGAATCAAGAATAAAGATTAACTCTTTAACACCTGTTATTTTTACTAAACTTCCACGTAATCATCTATTTATGCCAGGCGTAGACCAGTGGGATTTTAAAACCTTAAAAAATAATCTAAATTTTAAAGAACACATAGAAGATCTATTTCAATATCTTAAAAATGGTAACAGAGTAAGATTTGTAAATAATGAATATAGATTTTGTGAAAAAAAGCGTAAAATATTAGTAGTGGATTTGTACCTACCACAGTACAAATATGATATACGTATAAGTATAATGACTGAGGAGAAACAAATGCAAAGACAGACACAGAGTTCTGTTGATTTTGTGCGACACAGGAAAAGAGACACTTTTACTGATAAATGGTTCAATTATGATTTTACAGTTGTAAGAACAAATAATGAAGTGACTTATGAAGTAGAAATAGAAGTAGATGATATGAATTATAGAGTGGAAGATTTTATAGATACATTTTTTAAAATTAATATTTTAAAATAAAACTTATTTGTATAAACCTTATCAACTCTATTATATTATTTCTATCTAAGCTAAGTTTTTTAAGTAAACATCTATGTATTAACAGTAAAATGTTTGTTTTTATAATTCAACTTAGTTATGTAAATTACTAATGTGTTAAACCCCTTATACTAATTTAGTAACTTCATGTTTGATATAATTAAGCTTTCTAGTGCAATTGTTATGATTTATAAGTTAAGGGTTATTTATTCACAACAGCCATTTTATAAGCTTTTGTACGTATAGTTTATGTATCTATCTTTACATAAAATATTAATTTATATTACATAGCTCTATCTTAATTCTATTTGTTTAATAAAACAAGACAATCTTCATCTAAATAATCCTTCTTCATTAACTATTAGATTTAATTTGTTCTAATTTTTTTTGCTCAATTTTTAACTCTTTCAAAACTATTAAATTTAATTTGTTTCCATTTTCAAAAAATTTAGTTCATAAGGATAAATCTCGCTTCACAAAATAAAAGTCTTAATTTGTTTCCATTTTTAAAATATTTAAATTCCTAATAACAAATTTCTATTGATTAAAAGTCTTAATTTAGTCTTTACTTATAATATTTTTTATTTATCTCTTTCTATTATTTTATGCATTTATTTTTTCAAAAAATTTTTATCATTTTTTAAAATATAACCCCTATGTGTGGAGTCCAAGTCCCCTCAAAAAGATACAAAATTTGTTTAATAGGAGATGGTGGTGTAGGTAAAACAACTTACATTAATAGAGTTTTAGACGGTACATTTTGTAAAGAATATATAGCTACTATAGGTGTTGCTTGCCATCCCGCCACTTTTTGGATATCAGCTCATGAATCTATTGTTTTTGATGTTTGGGATACTGCAGGACAAGAAAAGCATGCAGCTCTAAAAGATATTTATTATCTTGAAGCTGATGGTGCTATTTTCTTCTATGACGTAACAAGTAGAGTTTCTGCTAATAATTTATCTACTTGGATGCGTAACTTTAAAAATGTAGTAGGAAATAAACCAATGGTTATTGTCGCTAATAAGATTGATTGTACTGACAGAAAAGCCAATAGAAAGTCTATTTTACAATCAGCTAGGGATTATGATTACGATTATTGTGAGATCAGTGCTAAAACTACTTATAACTTCGCTCAACCTTTTTTACTACTTGCTAGGAGATTATATAATAATAACAGTCTTGTATTTGTTTCTAATATTAATTTACAACCTTCTGAGTTGCATTATGATGATGCGAAGAACGTAAATGAAGATTATGATATTGCGAGAAATGCTGAAATTGAAGAATAAATAATTATTTATGGTCTATTTTCTATTGGATAGTTATAAAAGCATGTCAATCAGTAATTTTGAGATGGTGGCTTTAACATGTCTGTTTGTAAATAATTTTTATTAACTTTAACTTACAGCTTGTATTTAAGCTATTTCCTTATTTATTTTATTATTTTTCTAGTTTATTTTATCCCTTTAACGGTTAATGAATGGAGATAAGAAACTTTTATCTTGCGTAAAAGTTGGTGGACGGAGGGTTATTAAAAAATCTTTATCTTCTTCTAATACATTATTAAACAATATTTTAGAAAATAATAAAGACATTTTTACTAAATCAGTAGTAGATGAACTATCAATAGAAAGAAACAATAAAATTTATAAATATAAAAAAAATATAAAATTAGTATTTGATAAAAATAAAAAACCTATAGGATTTTTTGTATCTGGATTTCCAGAAATAAAAAATAAAATTGTAACTGATGTACCTTTAGATTTTGAAAAGGCGGTAGAAAATCTTAATTTGGATTTTGTAGAGAAGAATCCTGAACTTGAGAAATATCTTGGTATTGAATAAATTTATTTTTTTCTTAGATTGCAATTAGGATTTTTTTGAAAAAATAAAGTTAGTAATTTTATATTGTTAAATTTTAGTATTTAATAAAATTACTAATCTTATTTTGTTAAGAAAGTTTGTTATATTAAATAAAATTAGTAATTTTATATTGTTAAATTTTAGTATTAAATAATTTTAGTAATTTTATATTGTTAAATTTTAGTATTAAATAAAATTAGTGTTCTAACATTTTTAAATTCTAGTATTAAATAAAATTAGTGTTCTAACATTTTTAAATTCTAGTATTAAATTTATTTTCTAATACTATAAAAGTAAATCTTAATAAAAAATTATTTTTATTGGTCTTACACTTTTAAATTCTAGTATTAAATAAAATTAGTATTCTAACACTTTTAAATTCAGTATTAAATTTATTTTCTAATTTTATAAAGTTAGTAAGATTTCACTTAAATAACTTTAAGTTATCGTAATTCTTTTTTTTATAAAAATATGGTGCTATAAAAACATAACCTTTAAAAATCATTGTTTTAAATACATTTATTTTTGTGTTATAAATAATTAAGATACATTATAAGCTTCTATTATACTTCTAGATCTTTTTGGTCTTCTTTTTTTAGTACCACAAATATTAGATAATTCACTTTTAACACTAAATTCCATTTTATTATCTAAATGCTCCATAATTTCACTAAACTTTTTTTGGTCAAAACTTTCTAACATCATTTTTAATAAATAAGATTTTTCTTCAATGCTAAAAATTTTAGTAGTAGCTATTATAAATTCAGAAATAAATAAAGAATTCCATGTATAAATAAGACCACTTACAATTTTAATTCTATTATGAAATTTTTTTCTTTCTAAATCTGACTCTTTAAATATAAAATTTTTTATATCTTCAAATAACATTTTTTTTGTAAAAATTATTATTGATTTTAGTGTCCAATCTTTAACAATCCATTTTATTACTACAATCATATTCGATACAGAATATTTATCAATGTACTTTTTCATATTATAAGCTATTATCCTACAATTATCTTCATTCCTAATCCATTCGCCAAAATTGGCATCATAAGTCTCATCCATAAATAAAATGGATTTTTCGATTTGTTCTAGAGATAACATACCCTTTAATAAATTAGATTTTCTTTTATATTTAATTAAGGAGTATTCCTTTTTAATAGGAGTACAATCTAATTAATATTAATTATTATTTTCATAAATACTTTTTTTTTGTTAGTACAATAAAGTTTTTTTTACTTTTAATTTAATAAAAAAAACAAATAATCCCGCCTAAAAAAACAAGTTTTTTTATGCAAAAATATTTTTTAAGGTTTTATAAATGTTTTTAAACAAAACTAATAAAAGTTTATTTAATATATCATCAATATTTTAGATTTGTTTACAAACGAATCCTGTACACAAAAAAATAAACAATTAAAAATGAAAAATTTGAGAAAATTAGTTAATCTAAAATAATTTTAAACAAACATTAATAAATTATTAATAAAATATACAATTTATTTTTAATGCTTTGAATTTTAAAATAATAGTTTATGCACTTAAAATATAAATAATGTGTCAAGAAAACAAAAGTTGATTATATTAAATTAGAAGGACAAAAAAAAGGATATAAATATTTTTAAATAGGAATTGTAGAAGTAAAATTAAAAGAAATGTTTAAGATAATAGTAATGTAAAGAGAAATAATTATAAAATATTTTTTAAATTTCAAATAAATGGCTTACACAATATATTAAAACATTGCGTATGTTTATTAAGAAGATTATATTTCTGTATATTCGAAAAAACTTGATTTTTGTCAAAAAATTAACTTTCATTTAGATACTATATTTTAAAATATTTACTAGAAGAAGTAAAATTTTACTTTAAAAAGATTAACATTTTATATTTTAATGTACATATACTATTTTTTGTTAAAAAAGAATATTTGTTAAAATATATTAATTAAAAAAGTTTTGATTTTATATTAAGTTTAAAATGTTGTGTTTAAAGGAATAGTTACTAGAAAACATGAGTTTATATATTTTAAAAATTATTTAAGACTGATAAGTCAAACCCATCACCCTTTTAATAAAACCTCTAAGATCAATACAACAATAATATTCATGTAAACATATCAATACTATTGTTGAGAAATAAATAATATAAAAATTGTCTCTTGACTTACAAGATATTTTTTAGCATCTAAATAATATACAAAATACTTTACTTTTATGCAATAAAATAAATCAAAATGTAGTTTATATAGAAAAAACAAGCAATATAAATATTGTAATTAATTATTTAACAAAACATTTTTAAATAAAATAAAATTTACTTTTAATATATTAAATAAATGTAATCTTTTAAATTTATAAAATGTTTATATATTTATTACTTTACACATGTATGCTAAGTAATGATATTAAATATAATTGTTTAAAGGGGTTGATCCCTTTAGATGATTCACTACCGATCTCCTGAGGATAGTTTTATATAAAAATATGTAATTTTGCCATTTTAACATAAAAGTTATTTATATAAAGCATTAATAGAAAAATATATAATTATAATTAAAAGTAATGTTATATCTTAAAATAAATATTGCCCTTAATTATGAAAGATTTTCACAAGAAATAAGAAAAAGAAACAAATGTAGGTGATTAGATATAGTTTGGTATTTATATCTATTTTTGATTATATTATTATTTTTTACTAAATGTTAAACTTTAGTGAAATTGTTTAAATTTTTTAAGTTAAAATTGTCGAGGACCTCCTATTATCTTAAGAATTAATTATATGAAATATTTTATTATTTTGACCTCATGCAAGACTTTAAAAAAGTAAATAAAAGTGTCATTGACAAAAATATTGCTAAAATGATGTTTTATAAGTGTTTGTAATAAAATTAAATAATTTTAAAAGTAAATTGTCTTATAGATATTTTTAATACATCTTACACACAAAATTTTATTTTTAAATTTCTATACTTAAACTAAAATTAATATCTTATGTATTTTAAACATATGTTTATTATTGTTTCAATATAATTATAAATTAAATTAATTTGTAAATAAATAAATGTTATATATTTATTTTATTAATATGTTGCTAGCAGAACAACATTCTCAGTATACAGAAACACCATCTGATACAATAAGATACATACCGGGTGCTACAAATGAAATTGTAGGTGTACATGGACTAAAAGCTGTTGAAGATGGAATAATTTTAAGACGATCACTAGACCAAGGAGGCATTGTGTATTTCTTAGAAGATAATAAATACCCCGAATGGAGCTTTAGCTACACTATTACCGATATTAATCTTAATTTTCCTGAAGAAGGCGGTGTGTACTTATGGTACACTTCTCACGATCAAGAACCAGGAGAATTTAGAGGAGGAAGTGGAACATTCCACGGTTTAATGGCAGGTATAGAATTCAAAGGTGCTAGCCCCGAGCTAGTTTTCGCTTTTAACAACGGAGAAAACTTGGATGATAAAGTGCACATTAACCTTTACCGTGATTCATTCAGTCCCGACAGACTTAAAGGCGTAAAAAATCTAACAGTAAAAATTATAGTTACAAAAAATAATTTTAAAATTGAGTTGTACAACAAAGATAAGATATTATACGATAGTATGAGACTTGTATCAATTCAACCGCACATTATTCTAGGTACTGATAATAGATTTTCATTGACATCTTATTACAATTATACTTCTGCTGAAAAAGCATTTAAATTAATTGGTGCACAGTTGTATAAACGAGAAGAACATGAAAATTATGATGCCGATAAAATACACGCAGAAAATGTTAGTAATACACCCATGTCTCCCGATGACATAATGCATCCCGATAAAGAAATGAGACATTTTATCGCTAATTTCTCGCATTTTATGCAATATGCAAGATCTGTTCTTGGCGAAACTGACGATCCTAGTATTAGACACTACTCTAATAAAATTATTGAAAAAATTGACAGTATAGCAAAAAAGCAAGATAAATCTATTAATAATGATCTAAATCAACATATTAATAGTAGGGTTAATGATATGGATATTAGAATACAAGGAATACAAAAAGATATATTTGATATTTTACATTTACTAAAACATAGCGAACAGAAAAAACATACATCGATAAGTTTTACGACTTTAGGGCTTTTTGTAATAGGAGGTGGAGTATTATTAATTTTAGGATTAAAAGAATACAATAACTGGATACATCATGGTAAAAAAAATTAATAAATTTTATGATTTGTTAATAATTTTTTTATAGTGCTTTGATACTAATTAGTATTGTTTTCATGGATTTAATATAACTATAAAATATAATGTTTTTTTATTTTTGTGGGTCGTTTAAAAAATTTAAAAAAGTTGTTATAACTGCCTTTTTTATAAGCATGCATTTTATCTTTTTGAATGTTTTACTTATAAATATTAAAAACGTGTCTAAAGATGGGAAATCTACACACAGACCATGAGACCGATTTGATTCAAATACTGTGGAACTCGAACCTGCACAACCCACATCCACTTATCTATGGTGTATCAAGCTCCGCCGTACATATTAACTTCGGCTCTAGGAGAATCTTTGGTCATCGGATAAGACCCGTTGGATCATATCTTTTGTTTAAAATGTATAAAAACACCAATATTTACTATTTTATATTTTATTTTTTACTTAAAAATTAAAATGTTTGTACATAATAATAGACTATCATTAAATTGACCAAGCAGATGTAAAAATTATTAAAAAATAAACAATTTAAATTTTATAATCAGAAAAATTCAACTTAAATTTCTTTGCATCAAAAATATTTAAAATATTTTTTTTGTTTATGTGCATAAAGACGTTATATTTATTTATTGAAAATAAACTAGTATTAATAGTAAACCCAAAAAGTAAATGTATAGCACAGCTAGCCTAAGATAAATGAACATTAACTTAATATTTAAATACATTTATTATTTTATTGATTTTTTTGCTACTAAAAAGGAGAACAAAATAATTATAAGACAGAAATAATAATACATATAAATAATTATATTTCATATAAAATTGTGTATTTTTAATGCTCTCCTTTTTCTAAGAAGTACATTCAATAAGTACTTATCCCTATGTTTACTTATATATTATATTTAAGATGTGTAAAAACTGTTGATGATATTTTTTCAGAATTTTTAAGTTATGGATCTGAATCTGATGCTATGCCTTTGATACCTCGATCATCTTATATTTGCATGTGTTCAATATTCACAATATTTTTAATTTTTTTTAGCTATAAGTTTAAAAGATCTTCTATAATAGCACTATTTTTATTTTATCTTATTCAGTTACAAGCATATATCTTTAATTATTTTCCTTTAAGGATAAAAAATAGTGGTTTTATCTATTTATCTACTTACATTATTCTATCCTTAGTCAGTATTCTATTAGGAATATATTTTCCTTTTATACTAACATCGTCACTATTTCATCATTCGTATCTTACTTACGATTTTATTATTTATTTTAAACCAATTTATTCACATTTTATATCAACATCTCTTTATTTATTATCTTTATATTTTTCATATATAAATTTTAATTTATTTATTAATTTAGTATTGTTATATTACAGTAGTTTCTTTATGGTGGTATTAATTAAATTATTAATACTAGATAAATTAAAGATTAATTGTAATATTAGAACTAGAAACAGATTTAATTTCAAAAAAGATTGGTTATTATTATTGATATTTATAATAGGAATGGTAGTAAATTATTTTTATCAGGCATATATGAAAGGATATAATTATTGTTGGACAAAATGATAAAAAATATTCTAATATATGATTTATATTGAAATAAAATTTAATATATGATTTATTTTGATAAAACAAATTATTAATTACAATTAAATTAAAGAATATAATTACATTTAATATAAAAAAATATAAATAAAATTTATTAGATTACTCAAGATTAACTAATAATACCATTGTTAATATTAGCAGTTATTTTTTTATTTCCAACATTTATTAAATAATTGTCAAAATGCACAATACCATTTACAATGTTAAGCTTATTAAATAAATTTTTATAAAAACTTTTCTTTAAATCGATTGTGTTAACCGGAATATTTTTAAATATTTCAAAATTTTCTAAATAAGCAATACTACCTATTTTTATATCATCATCAACAAATAACACTTCTACATTTCCATTATCTTTACCACATAATATCATTCCATTTGACTCAATGCCCATTATTTTACTTTTCTTAATATTTGTAATAAAAAGTGCCTTTTTATTTATTAAATTTTCTTTAGTGTAATATTTGCGCAAACCACTGACAATCTGTACAGTAGATCCAAAATCCACATGCTCAATAAATAAATTTTCAGAATTGTCTACTTCTTCAATATTTACGATCTGTCCTACTTGTATTTTCAATAAATTAAAAAACATATATTGACAATTGTATTTGTCAACCATTTCTTCAATATACTTAATATTCTTTAAGTTGGTCTTCATTAGCAAATCAATCATATTGTTATAAAGGGATACATAAGATATAAAAGACCCATCAATCCCTACTTTTTCTAGTGTAGTTCTTATACGCTCAAAGTCTTTAACAGTAAATTTACTATCCTTTAAAATGTAACGAAGTACACTATAAAAAGAATCTAATATTTCTGCATCCAATTCAATCTCTATTCCTTCTTCTATTTTTTCAGTCTTTAAATTACTAACTGTTTTTTCTAATCCAAATTTTATATCTTCATATTTGTCCGAATATTTAAGCAACATAAAAAAAGGATAAAAATAATTTTTAAATTTTATACTTAAAAATAACTACCCTTATGACTGTTTATGTTTTTGGTTCAAATGCTATATCACAATTTGGATTAGGAGAAGATTATACATCTACACACATCCCTCAACAAATACCGTTTTTTGATAATATAAAAATAAAAAAAGTAAAATGTGGTACAATACACACACTAGTTTTAACAGAAGATAATAAATTATTTTCATGGGGGTGTAATGACGAATACGCCTTGGGAAGATCAGGTGACGAGTTCTATCCACAAGAAGTTATTCTACCAGAGAAACCAATTGACATTGCATGTGGTACATCAATATCTGCGTGTATTACAGAAAAAAATAATGTATTTGTATGGGGTACATTTAGAAACTTCAACGGTGTTTACGGCTTTGATAAAAATACTAAAATACAAAAGACACCAAAAAAGATAACAACAAAATTTGAAAAATTTAAATTTACAAGTATTGAATGTGGATCAAATTTTGTATGTTTACTTGATAAAAACAAAATAATATGGACATTCGGTTCTAATGATTTTAATGAATTAGGTAGGCGATCTAGTCTAAGATCTAAAGATTCATCTTTATTTCCTGGTCAGATATTCTCAAGTAGGAAAAAAAACGAAAATCACAAATTTAGACTTGTTAGGTGCGGAAGAAACCACGCTTTAGCTATTAACACTGATAATGAAGTTTATGCTTGGGGATCTAATATTTATGGACAACTGGGAATAGGAAATGATCATGAAACAAAAAATAAGCACAAAATAAATATTAGTAATGTAATGGATGCTGCTGGTGGTTTGCATCACTCATTATTTTTAACTTTTGATGGAAAATTATACGGAGCAGGAAATAATGATCAGGGACAATTAGGAATTTTAGGTAAAAATAATTGTCATAGTCCAGAATTAATTATTGAAAATGTTAAAAAAGTAAAGTCTTATGAAAATTACAGTATTTGTCAAATTGACAATTCTCTTTTTTCTTTTGGTATAAGTTTTTTAGGTGGCACTGGATTTGAAGAAGTTGAAATTTTAACACCTAGAAAAATACCTTTTGAATTTCCTGAAATTTTAGATTTTGCAGTTGGTAGCAATTTTACAATTGTAGTTACTAAATAAAAAATTATTTAATTAATTATCAAAACATTTACTCATAATTACACACTCTCCTTTATTGCTTAAAACAAGAATGTGTCCCGGCTTGTACCTACTAATATTCTTCAATGTAACAATTTCATTATGTTCATAAATTTTACATTTATTGAGTCTGCCTTGTGTTTCAAACCAAAGACATTGCAATGAACCAATAATTACATCAGAATCTAAAAAAATTGCATTTTTTATACTGCTATTTGGAACTGTTAAAATCTTAATTTTATTAAGATTGTTATCATGTATTACTGCCTTATCAGCAAATACAAGCAAATAATAATTATTCTGTTTCTTAAGCGATAATAATAATCCTTTACTAATCTCTGAAATTTCCATATTCATAGTATAATTATAAAGATATGTTCTATTTGCGTCTGATAAAATAAGACAGTTTTCTGCAAAATAATATACTTTTTTTATATTTCCATTAAAAATTTCTTCTTTCTCACAAATACCTTTAAAATTCCACTTTTTAAATGAACCTGAATTATCTATCGAATAAATATAATCAGCAACATCAAAACAAGCAATTTTTTCGGCATGCCCTCTTAAATATCCCGCCATTTCAAATTTAACTTCCTGGACTAAATAACGTATCACCATTAAATCATTAGTATCAAAAGAAGCCACTAACCAAATAAAATTGACATCATCTTTTATTCTCATTTTAATTATTTGTTTACCATTCGTTTCTACAATACATTCATTTTTAAAAGTATTACAATTAAAAGAACCAACTGTTTTGTTATCAAAAACACTAAAAAGAATGTTGTGTTTTTGAGATAAGACAGATAATAAAACATTTTTATCTGTTATTTTAAAAGAATTAATATTTCTTAAGTAAAACTTTTTATCACTGCTTTCATTAGGTTGTTCAAACATCTTTGGTGAAATAGAAACAGAATTTGGATCAAATCTATTTGCTCCTCTTAAATTGATTGGTTCTTCAAATCTATTAACACCTTTTGATAGAATGGGTTCATTCTGTGCAGTTCTGGCCTTCAAAGGAAATTGCTCATTGTATATTGGCCTTCCAGGAATATGCATATTTCTCATATCAACCTGTCTCCTAGGATCCACAACAGGAGAAGGACCAGGATGATATGGAGAAGTGTAATGCATATTATTGGGTGATTTGTATGTCTCACTAGATCCTCTTGTCATATTAAAATATGATAAATTATCCATTTTACCCATTTGTTGATACCTCTTTTTTTCATTCTCTAGTTTTAACATTATTCCTTCTATTCTTGCTAAATCTCCTAAATTATTTGACAATCCACATCTAACATTTGAAATATCTTGGAATGCAGAATACCACTGTGATAAAATAGGAGGTGCTTCATTTAACTTAACATCCTCTAAGTAAGCTTCACCTACAAATATTTTAGCAGTTTTTTCATATTTCATTTTAACTAAATAATCATATATCAAAAAATTTAGACTATTTAAAATATTTTGTTCTCTTTTCTTTGACATAAACACGTAATCTTTCATTGTATCTGATGAAGGGTAAAAATGTTTTTTATAGATATTGAAATCTAGAATAATGGTATTAAATAATAAAAAGTGTTTTTTTCTATCACAGAATGTAAGTTTAATTTTTCAAACTTTTTTCACTAAATATTTATGCACCAAAAAAATTTAAATATTTTTTTTGCATAAATACATTAAAAATACTAAATATATTGATTTAACAGTCCAGATATATAAATGACTTATAGTAAGATATATTAGATAGATTTGTTACCTTAATATTATATTGATATTATTGATCATGAGATTAATTTTGTGTTTTGTTGGAAGGTAAACAAACAAGCCATCAAAAAAATCATTACCTGACGTGGAAACACAGTATATTGTAAATATTACTTACTTTACATCTACGAACTGGCAGAGAAGGCTTGTAGTTTTAAATTAAAATTTAATAAACTTAAATAATAAATAATTAATTACGCTTTCATTTTACACGTTTTCATTTCATAATAAACATTTTAAAGAAATAATACTAGAAATTAAACAGTTTGTTGTAATTCTACATAAATTAAAATTTAATTAAAAATCAAATGTACTTTAAATTTAGCAATATTTGAATAATAAACACCAATAAAATAAATTGTAATTACTTTTTATTTACAATTGGTATTAGTATTTATTTTTCTTTTGGTTTTGCAAGTTAAATTTCTTATATGTTTCTACTTTATAAATAAATTAAATAAACTAGTTGTATTTAATCTTATTTATCAAAAAAGTAAAAAGTAATTAAGAATGATTTGTACTGCTAAAACATTATAAAGTATATACATAGCTAAGTAGAAATAGAAATACATTTAAGATTAGAAAATAGGATTACAAGGATAGCATAAAGCTTTCTAAAAAGGCTGCTTTTTATTTGTTATTTGGCAATCTAATTAAAAATAGACATATTGCTGATTTTATTATGTAAAAATATATTTAATAAAAGTGCTAGTACTTTAAAAGAGTACCTTAATGTTTATTTAAGGATAAGATCTATATTTTGGCTTCATAGTACCTAATAATATTAATTCACAAAGTTATAAAAAATAACTCATGTATTATTTGCTTTGTAAATAATTTACTGTTAATTACAAGGAATTTTGTTTAAAGATTTAAAATTATATAAATATTTTTATAGAATAATAATTTTTTTTAAATTTAATATTTATTAAGGAAATTATATATAATACAATTAAATCTATATAATGATTTATTTCATTCCATTTATCTTACATAAGCCTTTGTTATCTTTATAGCCTTTAAAAATTTAATATTTTTACCCTCTATGACATTTACAGATTATAACGAGCTAATTATAAAAAATACTACAGAAACAGACACAATATGTCCAGGATGTAAGCAAAACGCAAAGTTTAAATATACTAAATTAGAAGATGTACAACCAGAGATTGTATTGGTGGTTTTTGAATGCACACATTGTAATATTAAAGATACGAGTTTTTTTAATGAAAAAATTAATACTAGAAAACTTGTTATAGAGTGTCATTTCAATGATAAAGAAGATTTTAAGCGAGAAATTAATCTTAATATGCACTCTCAGCTATTTATTGAATACAGGGGTATTAAATATGAACATGAAAGCTCTTTACCATTGGTTATTAGTGTAGAAGGAATAATTGATCAGGCTATAGAAGCATTAGATAATGAAAATAACTCGATTATAGGAGATAAACAAGAAATGAAAAAAACGGTAGAAATTTTCAAGTTAATAAAAGAAGATTATGTTTTTTATATGAAAATTATTGATAATGATGGGTCTAGCAGAGTGGGAAGGATTGGTAAAGGGGTTTATGAGATGCAAAATTGTGATATAAAAGAATTTAATGACGAAAAAGTACATCATTATCTTGTCAATTCGTAATATTATTTTACAAAGTGTTACATTATACTAAAAATTTAAAAAAATTTATTTTTATGTTTAAAATACAAATAAAAATTTTGTTTAATAATTCAATATAAGTATAAAAATTTTTAAATTTTAAAAGTAAACATGTGATTGTTTTGAAAAGACAAAACCTGATCATCAATTTTTATACAAAAACATTTTAACAATAAATATATGTCAGATTTTTACACACAAATCCTTATTATTTCTACTTTTGTATTGGTTTTTACATTAATATCTAAATACACAAAAGAAAAGCTTTACTTACCAGAGTCATTTGTTTCCCTTATATTTGGAGTTTTAATAGGTAAACATTTTTTAAATATCCTAAAAGTCAATCCTTATGGTCTTTTTTCTGTAGCACGAATGATATTATGTATTCAAACTATGAATGTTGCATTAACACTTCCAATGCATTATGTATATCATCATTATAAGTCATTAAGTGTATTAATTTTAGTAGTAGGCTTTATAAAATGTATATTTACATTTATATTACTACTGGTTTTTAAATCTATAACATATCTTCAGTGTTGGCAATTAGCAGCGGCCTTAACACCAACAGATCCCATTTTATGTTCTAGTATTATAAAAAGTAAATTAAAAATCCCTACTAGATTAAGACTTCTATTACTTGCGGAAAGTGGTATAAATGACGGATTAGGAATAGTTTTACTAAATATACCTAATAATACAATCTTTAGGAAATTTTTAGCAAATATTGTTTACCAAAAGATTATGTTATCTATTACGTGTGGAATTGTATTGGGCATATTAGCTAAAAGTCTGTTTAAATATTGTTATAGAAAAGCATTGGTAGGAATGGATTCTTTTATTATCCATACATTCCTACTAGTATTAGTTTCAATAGGTCTTATGGAAATAAGCGGCGGATCAGAATTTATATGTATATTTTTTTGTGGTATACAATTTTCATCTGATGAATTTTTATCGATAGAATACGACAGAAATATGCAAGACACTATAGATCAGCTGATATCAACAACCTTTTTTGTAATATTTGGATCTACACTAGATTTTTACTTTTCGTTTAAAGAATTACTTGTAGGATTAATAATAATTTGTATAAGAAGACCTACTATCTGTTATTTACTAAATGGTATAATAAATGATTTACGTAATCGTAAAGAAAGCCTTTTTATAGGGTGGTTTGGCCCTGTTGGCGTAGGGGCTATTTATTACAGCATGATGGTAGATCTTAATTACAAAGATGGGTTGTATTATTACACTAGTAAGATAGTCTTATTAAGTGTATGTTTTCATGGAATGACAATATTGGTTTATAAATTAGTAAAAAAAGTGACTAATAATAGAAATATAGATTTTTTTGATTAAATAATTTATTCTATGTGTCCATATTTTCTCAAGAAGTCAATTTTACTTTCACTCCATTCTTCGTTGTCTACTTCTAAATCGTCTATACATTTTATTAATTTTTGTAAAAGATCTTTATCATCCATAAATTTATAACCCATAAACTAAAAAAAATGATAATTAATTTTTATTAAAATCAATTTAAGCATAAATAATAATAAAGAGAAGATATATAGATAGAGATTGTAGGATGTATTAATGAAACATCAAGTATAAATGACTGCTTGACATGCAATTTATTTAACATGTCAATATTTCAATAATTATAATAAATTCATATTTAATCTTAACAAAGATATTTACATAATGAATATACAAAGAAAGACAAGAAAAGTTATTATTTTTAATTGATAATTAACGTGATAGGTAAAACATATTTAAAAAAATAACACAAAAAATTTATTTTTGGTGATTTGTAAATAAAATTCAACTCAGAAATAAATAATACCATATAAAATCACAAAATATACATTTATTCTAAATTACAAAATACAAGTGACTTAATTGTAATTTATTTATTTTTATGTTTTCTTGTATTGAGTTAGAACAGGATAAATATTCTCAAAAGCCTGATAAATATCATCCCTTACTTTAGCTCCTGTAAGTACAATTTTACCACTTACAAAGATTAGAAGAACAATTTTAGGTTTAACCATCCTATAAATTAACCCTGGAAATAATTCGGGTTCATAAGAACAGTAATTGGAATGAGAATAAGCTAATCCTTCAAGTCTAATTGAAAATTTTGTGTCGCAGCTTGAAACAATATTCTGAATTTTAAAATCATTAAAATCCGCATTAAATCCCAGTTTATTGATAATTTTGGAGTATCTTTGAGCAGCAAGTTTTGATTGCTTTTCAGATTTAGCTCCTGTAATAACAACTTTCCCAGATGCAAAAATCAATGCAGTCGTCTTTGGTTCCCTAATTCGCATAATAACAGCAGCAAATCTTTTAGGATTGTATTCCGCATTGCGTGCACGTAATGCTATATTTTTTAAGTCTAGTTTACAATTTAAATTTACAGTTGCTACAACATTTTGTAGTATTGGTGTTATACCAGACCTATTTTCTACTGTACTTTCTATTGCATTGTCATAGTCTGTAAAATTTCTGTCCATGTTTTGGGGTTACTATTTATACAAAAATATTTTTTTTGTTTCAAAATTTTAAAGTTTTAGTTTTTATTTGTTTACTTAGTAGACACTAAAGATAGAGGAGTAGTATTAAATATTATATTCTGTATACATCATTCATATTAGAATTATACCTCAATATACAAAAAATGTTTAATATTTTTATTCTATTTTTTATAAAAATAGAATAAAAATTGTAACAGTCTTATAAACACCTGCAGAAATAAATTGTTTTAAATAGAAATTTAAATAAGTTTTAAGACCGCACTATTTAAAATATTAAAATTATTAACCAAATATGGTTAGAAGGTTAAAATTGGAATTTTAAAATCAAATAAATTCTAATGCTTATCTAACTAATAAGTAGAGATTTGATAAGATTTATCGTAACTATCAAAGTTATTTTATAAGAAATTTAACAAAAAAGAGAAAATAAATGACTACTAAAATTTGATGAATTTTAAGAAAAAAATGAATAAAAATCCACGGAATAAAAGATTGATATAATTTTTCTTTCTAATAGGTAAATGATTAGAAAAAAAGATGTTAAATAAACTTAGACCTTTTCTATTTATTGTAGCATATGTTAATATGCAATTTATAAACAAATGCTTATTTAAAAATACATTTTGATGTCTAAACATAAAAAATTGTATAAATAATTAGCTACTCTTTTATTTATTGTAGCATATGTTAATATGCAATTTATAAACAAATGCTTATTTAAAAATACATTTTGATGTTTAAAAACAAAAAATTGTATAAATAATTAGCTACTCTTTTATATCACAAATACGTAGAATATAAATTTCTTTAATATTTCTTGCAATATTCTATTAACATTTTAAGGTTTGTAAATTTTCTTTATGCCCTTTTATGCAAGAATTTGATTTTGAATGTCTAAGAGATCAAACAATTAATTTACTCGAAGAATTAAAGAATTCTAAAAATCAAGAAACTTTAAAAGAAAAAATAAGTGCATTATGGAAAAATATTCCTATTTCCAATATTGAGAAGGAAGATTCAATTACATTATATAAATGGGATTATAACTATAGTAAAGAGGCAACTATCTATATGATTATATATCATTTATACAATATTGGATGTGATAATATTGTCGAAACATTTTATAACGAATATTCTGGAGACCACAAAAAATACTTAAATATTTGCATAAATAATTATAAAGAATTTGTTTATTACACAAACAAATTTAAAGAAAATGATTTTATGCTAAAAAACTTTATAAACCAAATCGGTGTATCAGAGGAGTTAATTTTTGCATACAATATTTTAAGATTTTTAGAGTCAAAAAGTTTAAAGCAAAGTATTAAAGAACTTCAACAAACCCTCAGTCCAATTATTACAAATTTTTCTGAGGAACTAAAAGAATATTTAAAATGTCTTGTATTACCACAATATACAAATATTTTAAAAAAAGATGTAAAATTAAAAATACAACATCTTTTTATAAAAGATTTTTGCAATTTAAGAGATTTTGTAAATGGGGATTTTTTACCAATAGTTTTTGAACAAGGTTGTATTGGATTTAATTTTTTAAGTAAGCATGAACATGCATTTAAAAATTTTGAAGATATTATACTACCCGTAGAAATTCCTCTAGGTAAGAAAAAGCAATATCACTCGTTATTTGTATGTCCAGTTATTAAAGAAGTATGTTCTGAAGAAAATAAACCAGTACTATTAGAATGTAATCATGTTATATCTTCCAGTGCTGCAAACATTCTTAGCAAGTATGGGGCCGTAGATGTGTTTAAATGTCCTTATTGTCCAGAAATGAGTGGATATGAAAAAATATTAAAATTAGAACTTTATAAATAAATGTAATTATAAAAATTATTATTTTAGAGAAATAGATTACAAATTATATAAGAGTTGTGCACTATTTCAGAATCAAACATGTGTATAAATTTATGTAATAATAAAAAAAGTTAAAAATTATAAATATCTTTTATTCATAAAATATCGAACACAAGAGGACTCGAACCCCCAACCTTCGGTTCCGAAGACCGATGCTCTACCATTGAGCTATATGTCCTAATTTAACAAAATTTAGATAGTTTAGTTGTTTCAAAGTAATTACATGTCAAATCAATTATAAAAAACAAACAATAAAACACATAAAGTATATTTTAAAATTTTTCACTTTATTTATATTCTTAAATAAGCTGCTGCATCAAGCAGGTCAACAGTTTCATCATCTTTTATTTCAAAATCATCAACATTTTTATTTGAAGCTTTAAACTCTAAAAATTCAATAATTCTAGCAAGATACTTGCTATTTATTGGTAGAACAATTGCTTCTGCTACGTGCTCTATATAATTTGGATTGGTGTTTATTAATAAATTAAGAGTTTTAGAATATAAAGCAATCTTTCTTTTAATAGTAAATTCAATACCGTCAGATGATAGTAACTTGATGGTTTCCATTGTCAGGGATAAAATTTTTTATTGAAACATCAAGTTTTAAATAGTTTATAATTTTTGATACACAAACAAACAAGAGATGTTATTTCTATACTGCTTATTAACATATACTTTATTATCTCCAGAGCTACTTAATAAATGCAAATTATTTAATATAAAAGACAGTGACTGTATTAACTCTTCTTTTATACCAAGTTCAGAATATAACAGATATTTAAAGAGTTTTAATATGCCAATAATACGAGATGATTACTGTACTAAGAATAAATGTATGGCGGTTGTTAATAATGAAAATATGGTACAGCAGCAGACACCCAGTCCACAAACTACGCCAGCTCAATCTACTACATCACAAGTAAATACAATGACTCTTACAAGTACTACTACAAGTACTGTAATAATATCAGTCCCACCAGCATCTATAAAAACACAAGATATTTCAGAAAGTGTGAAAGATGATAAGTCACAGAATAAATGTAAAAAAAGTGAAGAAAGTACGGATGAGCAGCGAGAAAAGACGAAGAAAGATTGTGAGCATCAAAGTAAAGTTAAAAAAGGTGATGTGGGTGGAGAAAAGGAAGGTAAAAGTGAACACCATGATATTGAAAATAAACCTAAAGGAAAAAAGAATGGCGAAAATGAACAGAACAATAAAAAACAAGACAATGAAGAAAAAGATATTACAACTGTTATACGCGAAATACCAACTACTGTTACAGTAGAAGTACCTTTAACCCTTTTTAGGGAGCACACAACTACAGCGATTTCAAAAGTGCCAATTATAAATTATTCCCTAACAACATTTACTGAGAAGGATACAACAACAAAAACATTCTTTAAAACAGCAACAGTAACAAGTGAAATATTCGAAACAACAACTTTGACTACAGAAATATTAAAAACAACTACTGTCAGTGTCATTAATCAGCAAACTACTGACTACGATCATAAAGAAAACGAACTAGATGATGAGAATAACTCTAAAATTCCAACATATGACGTCGATTATAAATTTCCAGGACAATTTAAAGATATTGAAGATAAATTCGCGCGTTTTAGATCTAAAAAAATCTTAAAAAAAGACATAGACAATTTATTAATGAATTTGTGTGATACTAAGTCTAAAAATTACGATTGTATTTCGCCTTTTTTAGAAGATAAAAAAAAGAGAGAATTTACTTGTACTGATAATCAAAAATCAACGGATAATGATTGTAAATCAGAAAGTATTAAAACAGTTTATATTTCTGATACTAAATCACAAGATGCTGTCTTTGAAAATGAAAAGATAAGCACGGTTTACATTACAAAAGAACCATCCGTTGAAAAACTTACAACGGTTTTTATTACACGGGAACCCGAAAAAGAAAATATTAGCACAGTTTTAGAAACTACACCACCATTTAATGAAAAAACAACTACTATTTTCGTAGCACCACCATCACCTGCAACAGACTCACATGTCGAACAAGAAAAAACCAAAACCGTTTTTATAACACAATCTTTAGAAGCAAAAAATCAAGATATTTTAGATAAAGTAAGTACTGCACTTGTAACAACCCTAATTAACGCAAATACTCCTGCCACACAAGAAGCATATAGCACTGTTTTTATTACTACTTCAGTTTTAATTCCTACTCCACAAGTTGTAAATCAGGCACCCGCACTTGATATTTTACAAACTGCTGATATAAAGAAAAAAGAGGATAAAACACCTTTGAAATCTAAAGAAGATTGTGACGAAGATATTATACCTTTGCTTAAGGACCTTATTCAGACTACACTTGCCAGTGCAAAACAAAAACATGCTAAACCTAAAAAATCCAATAGAAAAATTTTTAAAACGTTTTATGCAAAAAGAAAAAAAAGAAAGTGCAATCCTAAACGAGAATGTTCGGACAAGAAAGGTCAACCTATGGAATACGAAAAAATTTGTAATGAAGATCATAATGTTTAAGAATGAATCAAATAAACTTAAATAAAAACTGTACAAGGGCAATACAAGAATACTTTTCAATTAAATAGCTTATAAATGTTTATTGGAAAAGTTTTACGCTGTCATTTTGAAATTCGTTTTTTTGTTATGTACTTTTAATTTAATTAAAATAGGTAATGCTTAGCATAATATATTGGTTTTTTAAAAACTTTGCTATAAAATTAATTTTACTTTACTATACAAAAAAAATGTCTTATTTGTAAATTATTGTGCTAAATTCTATTACGTTATAACATTTAAGTGTATTGACTGTGTAATAAATGTGTTTTCTTTGTAAATTATTGTACTAAATCCTATTAGTTAAAACATTTAAGTGTATTATAGCGATATTTTACGTCTAAATGACGATTCACAAACCAAGAGCGAAATTTTTTAACTTTAAACGCACATACTTAGAATGTATCACGTATTTAAGAATATTAAATCGTGACTTATTATATTAATGAGCAAAAATAATTAGTTATATACAAGTTTTAATAATTTGACCTAACATCTATCAATTAAATCTTTAATTATAATATTTAAAACATCAATAAATAAATGTGTTATTTAATAAGAACTATAAAACAATTTATATTTTCTATAAATTGATCCTTAATTAATTTTTTTGATAAACGTTACGCAATAAAGTTCTTTGTAACACATAATAATAAAATCTAAAATAAAATATACAATAAATAATATGTAATTAATATATGTCAATTATTTGTCATTTTCTTAATTTTATTGTGTATAATTTATTAATTTTTTTACATTTAAAGACTTTTTAAAACCCTTCTATGTCATTTATCGTACGATGTTTTCAAGATGCATTTTTAAGTCAAAATTATAACCTTACTGGTTGTGAAAATTTAGCCAACTGGGCGGAATTTTTACTAAGAAAAGGAATGTGGGTATCTGTTTTTGTGTTTATCTCATCTATTTCAATAGTTATATGCGAAGATCAGAATTTATTTAAACTACAAGAAAAATATAAAAAGGCTAAAAATATTGAATCACAAGTTGACCGTAGTCCTAAAAATTGGTATTATGTAGTGTATTTTGTTACGGGAGTTTGTTCAAGTTTATATTTTATACTTCACTGTTTTTTTGGATTTAATTTCTAATTGCAGAAATAAATTTTTTTTGAAAAAAGTAGTTGCGCTTTATTTTTTTAAAAGTTGTGTAATTAAAAATCTATAAAAAGCTTTTTTTAAATTTTACTATTAAAACATAAATATTTAAAATCCTAGTAATATTGTTAGACGTATATTTAAATCTTTAAGATAAGTATATATCCATCCAAAGTTGACTTATAGAAAATAAAAAATATAAATTGTCGGTAAGGAGGGGTTAGACAAATCTAAGTTAAATGTATTTAAATTATAAAAAATATAGCAAGAAGAGCACTGCATGACACAAGAAACACAAATTTCATATTTTGTAGCATAAATAAATAACAAAGCCTTTTTTTGTTGTTTATTTTGTTCTATAAAAGATTCTACGCTACTTTTTGCTAGTCGAGTACATTGCCGTAATTATACATCCTCCATTTGAAATTTCAACTCAACCTAAAGGAATAATTTAAACATTTTCTTTTAAAATTATAGATTGAATGTAAACCTTGATGCTTTCTGTGAGGTTTAATATTTGTCTGTATATCTCATGATAATTTGTAACAATTTCATCCCAAGTTGATACGTATGGTATATTATTTATTTAAACTTGTATAATAGTGTAATTTCGTTCGCAGGGAGATCGTATTTTCTATACATTTTTTGGCCTCTGTCTGTTGTAAATTTTCTAGTGACATTATGCTTATTTCCATGATAAGAATTTTTTTCTTTTTCTTACCTATCACTATCAAATTTTGTCTGTTATTTTTAATCTTAATATCGGTTTTTACAAACGTGTTGAAACGAATTTTAATTATTTGCTTGGGAAAACCTCCTGGACAGAATAACTTTGCAATTTTTTAAAATTTACGTTTGAATTTATTGGAGAATATTAGATAAATAGATCTAGAACTTCATTGTGTCTCCGCAAAAAATGTACTTTCTCACATCTAATTTATCTAGCTCTCCATAGTATGGACATTTTTCTTTTACCCCAACACCATTTTTTAATCTTAAGGTGATATAATGTGACTTCTCTCTTTTCTCGGTTGTTTTCTTTCATGAGTCATGTTGACGAGTTTTTTACTGATGTCTTTTTTCCTTCAACCCCAAAATACAAATTTTTGTTTAAAAAATCATTTTAATATTATCGTATAATGTTTATGCTTAAGCTTTTAGCAATATCTCCAAAAAAAGTCTTTCTTCTTTAGATTGTACTTTTTGTAAAAAATTTTCTTATTAGCCATAAATGAGTTTTAGCAGTCTTTTGTACTTGTAAAATTGCAACTCTTCTTTTAAAAATATGCTTTATACTCTATTGTGTAACATATTGTTTGAATTAAAAGTATATTATTGTAATCTTGCATTACTTGACAGAAAAAGTTTTTTACATTTTTTATATTCTCCCCCGATGTAAGAAATGGACTGTTGGCTATAAACATTACCAGGTATTTTTAGCTCTTTACTTTTAAGTTTAAAAAAGTCTAAATAATACTATGATAACAAACCCCTTGATTTTATTTGACAATTCTAAGCAAAGCATATACTAAAAGTTGTGTATTAAGATATTGAATTTTATAACGGTGTAGTAAATATTACACATAGATTATTATTGTAAAAGTGTCTAACTCTACTTGTCAATATTCACATTTTTAGACAATGTAAAGTTGCAAATAAAATTTTTGAGTTAATTAAATCTTAGAATACTTTACTATGCTATTAAATCAACCTCTTTGGTAAATGTCTACAAATGAAAGTTCTTGCACACAAATTTATAATTATTTTGTTAAAAAATGAAGGCCTAAAAAATATCGAAAACCAACTTTGGGGAAATATGCGGTTTATAAATTGAAGATACAAAAAGAATATGACGTAGCAATACTGATAAAAGGTCTCATGTGTGTTGTCAACATTTTTGTATATAAAAAGTTTTATGCTTCTTTTTAGGCCGGATTTCTTTATGCTTATCTCTATTCAGCCCCTATAAATTAAAAAATAATTTATAATTTTTTTGTTTTGTAAACAAACAATTTTAAATTAAAACACAAATGATAAAATAAATTGTAAACATTAGATTATTAAAAAAACGGGTAATCCCCAAAAAAACGTGTGTACGAGACTTTTATTTCATTTTTACTTTATATTTTAATTTTTTGCCTTGTGAAATATCACAAAATATTTAGTAATTTTTTGATGTCAATCAAATATTATTTTGCTCATTGATTATGTCACTATAATCCGTTAATCGTTTTTTAATTACATTGCTTCTTGTTTGAATATATTTTATATTTATGCATGCATAATGTAAGATTTTTTTTATAAATTTGGTAAATAATAATAATCAAGTTTTATATGTACAAAAATTAATTAAAGTTTGATGAATTCTAAGTACTATTAAAATTAAATAAATAATGGTAAAACATGAAATTACACACATTCTACATTTTAAAAATGTACCTGTCAAATGTTGTAATTTACCATCATTAATTGTTAGTATTTAATACTTTTCTTTCTTACCCTCAATGTTATCTTTATTAAATCTTATTAGTGGAATTTATAGCTCTGATGCGAAAGTAGAACAGATTACTGAAGAACAAATAATTTCATGGCCAGAATATTTAGTATTGAAATCGCTTAAATTAGGAATCTTATTTTTTGTAGGATATACTCTTTTTGAATGGTTACAGGTTATAGCAAGTGATAGATCCAGTCAAGAAGCTCTAAATAGGGCGATTACAAGGTTATTTTTGGTTGGACTTGGGGTGATTTGCTATTTAATTTGTCGTTGGTATTGGTATTGAAAAGTAAATAAATATTTAATATTAGATACAATTATATTTTTTAATATAAAAAACTGTTTTATATTAATATATTCTTTAAATAACTAATTTATACTATAAATTTAATTTTTGCCTTTATTCAACTTTTATTAAACAATGTTTTATTTAAAAAGTAAATGAATAAAATTATGTCGTTTTTTTATAATATAACCAAATTATAAAGTAAATTAGTTATTTATAGTAATTGTTCATTTAAATTTATTAATAAAAAAATAGTAAATGTACTTAAAATTTATATTAATTTATAAAGTTATATATGACTGTGATGTAATATAATTTATAAAATTGTACACCGATTTAATAAAAACTTGAAGAAGTTACATTTCTTTAACAAGGATTAATTAATAAATACACTAATTATAATTATTAATATATTGATTTAACATGTTGGAAATTTTGATCAATTTATTAAAAAACAAAATATAAATTAAATTTAAAAAGTCGAAAGTGAACATTATTTTAATCTTAAATTTAATCTAAAGTTTTAGCTTTTTTAATTTATACAAAAAAGTTGTATATTCTTTAAAAATTTTGCCTCCGCGGCATTTTTTGCCAGCTTATAAAATAATTTTTTTAAAAAATAGCCCTTAAAAATGAAGTATCAATCTAAAGTTTTAGGCAAAATTTTGAAACAATTGTAATTATAAGTGTAAAAAGATAAATAACAATATTATAAGGATTTAAATACTATAGAAAATATACAAGGAAACATAAAATTACAATGTCTTGTTTTTTTAAAAAATTGTATCGGAATTTACAAGGTTGCAATTGCAAATAATGTTATTTCTGAAGAAAAAAAACAAAACATAGCAGCTTTTTTACCAAAAAATAAATTTCTTTTTTTAGAGGAGGAGTACAAATAGAATCAACAATTGCCAGAAAAATTACAAATGATATTATTTGTACAGCCTCTGTGCTTCTCGATGATTCAGAACAACGAACAATCTCTTTTATTGATAATTTAAAAGGGAGACTTGGAAATTTACAAATTGAAACTAAAAATTATGCTTTTTCTTTTATTCATCACATACCCGACGAGCTCTGTTTTTCCGATCAGACACTAAGTTTGTTAATTTTGACAATTATTTTATTTCAAAACATCGAATATATGACTCTGGACACAAAAGAATGTTTTAGAAGCAAAAAAATATAAACTTTATGCATTAGATGATAATTTTTTACCCGTTTAAAGGATTTTACCAACTTTTGGTATTTTTTACTGTTGTCAAATCTGAACATTTACCTTTTGCATATTTCTTGTTCCTGATAAAAGTTAATCTTCTTATAAGTCAGTTTAAATATTTTGTACGATTATGCTAGCATAAATAATATAGATAATTTAATTATTGATTTTGATTTATCAATTGAGAATGTTATAAGTGAAAAAAAACAGTAAGATTCTGTATTTTTCATTACTCTCGGGCAGTATATCGTAAATTAAAAGCGCTGGGATTGAGTAAACTTTATCGAGAAGATAAAAAATTTAGATTTTTGTTAAATGTTCACTTTGCTTTGTATTCATTGTAGAAGAAGAAAGGGAAAAGTTTTTTAACTAATTGTAAGGGAAAGCAAGTTTCTGTATGATCAAAAGAATGTAGACGATTTTTTAAATCATTATTATAATAATTGGTATTTGTGTATATATTTAGAAATAATGATTTATATTAGAGAATTATCTTTGATATTCTTTTTACTAATAATAGTGGTTTTAATTATTCGTTAAAAAAGAAGCTAAAGGTCCTCAACCAAGTTTAATAGAATTGTTAATAATTTTGTGCAATCGCGACTATTTAAATGAAATGGGTAAGTATCGTAAAAACAAAAATACTAAGATTAAAGATTAAAATCTTAAAAGAAATTTTAAAATTTAAACAAAGCCTAGAGAAAATTTAAAAGAAGATGGTTTACATAAATTTAAAGAAATTACGGAGGTATATACTTTTAATGATATTTTACATTTAATTAAAGATTAATTTTCACTTTTAAGGGCTGCTTTTTTAAAAAAATATTTTTATATGCTGGCGAAAATTCCGCCAAAGCTAATTTTTTCGTCAGTAATTTTAAATTAAAAAATAAAATTATACACGTGCTTTTACTATTCAAAATACAAGGAGTGATGTGCATATCAAATCTAGATAAGTTTACTTTTAAAACACTATAAGGAGTAGGTGCGTAAACATGCAAGAAAAAAAAATTAATTAAAAAGAACATTTTTTCTACTAGAGTCATTGAAACAATTCTTTCAGCATCATTACTTTCAATTTTAATGCTATTAGTGCTAAAAATTTGATTTCTTTTTTAATCGTAAAATAAAATGAATTTTATTTTAACTTTTTTGTTTTACTTTTGGTGTTAAAATCTTTTTTATTAAAACACTATCATCTATATTTATGTCATTTCTAACATAATGCACGCACTTTTTGTCCATGCGTGCTAAATATTTTTAATTAAATTAGACTTATATCTATTTTTTCTTTTATTATAAATATTTTTTATATATCAACTAACTAACGCTATCTTATTTAAAACAAGACTTGAATACGATACATGCTTTCTTTGTTTAAATTATGTATATATGTCTTTATGCATGTATGTATTGTTTAAAAATAACACATTGCACACTTTTAATTATAAAATGACAATAGTGCACATTTTACAGTTTGAATAATTAAATAAAACTAAAGGAAAAATATATTTAAAAAATTAAGTTTTATATAATATAGTCAACCATGAAAGATTGTTATTTATTTAAAAAAACGTTTTCTAAAATTTGAAAAAAGAAAGATTAAAAATAAATTAATATTTAAATTCAAACTTTTTATATATATTGATAAATAAGAAAATTCGCATAAATTTTGCTAAAAAAACATCTTAGGTAGCGAGAGCAAGAAACACAAAAATATATCTTTATACAATAAAAACACCTTTTATTTTAAGGGACCGGATGGAACAAACGGCAAAACAATGAGCATTATAGAGAGGTACATCGCCGCTGGCCACATTTTCCGTTAATACCCAGCCATCTAAGGTTTTTTGACATTCGGGTGGAATGTCGGATTCTGGTCGTTTACCGTAACTATTCTTTATTCTAGTATTCTTTACCCGATCTTTAAGGGTTCTTGATTTATATACTTCCAAAGAGCATCCATCTTTGTTAATAACATCAAAAACAACATCTCTGGGTGTTTCAAAGGTTCCAAGCGCTCTTTTTTACCTTATTTGCCAATAATACGTGAGAAATTTTTTAGTGTCCTGAGAATGGTTGTGGTTTGACAAAGAACAAAAATGGTCATTCATACGGATGCATAAATACGCAGTACATCCTCTTTTATTACATTCTCTACTAAAAATAATATTGCTTTTCAAATTTATAGGATCTATAAAAATTAAGGGTTAAAAAAATTGTAGTGAAAAATACGTCTAACGAAGATCAAAACAAAGAAACAAACATTAATTTTGGCATTTCGGTGTAGAGGGCGGCAAAAAATTATACCCTTAGAATGATAGAAAGAAGAGAAGAAAAAATAAAAAATTTGCAATTGTTTTTTTAACGATGAGAAATTATGAGCATAAAAGTTTCTGCACGAATGTTTATTTCTAAATGTTACATTGCCAAGTATGATATTTTAGTGCGGCGTGCTGGATTAAAGTTGTACAAAATGAAATGCGACGATGGTTATACCATGAGGCTGATTGCTGCTAAAGGAAAAGCTGCTGAATTTTGGTGGGACTATAACGACCTTGCTGAAAGTGAATTTCGTTCGTTGCAATTCTATATTTGAAAACTCTGCTTTATCATCTGAAAAAATATTATTAATAATGTATTACTGTGCAACTGATAGACAACAAAAAGATGTTGTTATTGAAACAAGCGTGTGTGCTGATATAATTAGTGATTGGTTTGAATTTTTGCGAGATATTATAGCTAAACATATGCCTGAATCTTTTGAGACGATTGGCGGATTAGATGAGAACAATAATCCCATTATTGTTGAGATAGACAAGCTTCAATTTTCTAAAAGAAAAAATAACAGAGGCCGAATTGGTAACCCGGCCTGTGTATCTGATAAGGTTGAGAGGGAAACTCGTAAATGCTTTGCAGTGATCGCGGAAAATCTATCACGATCTGTATTAATGCCAATAATATGCAATAAAATAGCAACTGGTTCTCATATTATTTCTGATCAGTAAGTCTCTTATAGATCTTTATATAATAATTACTTATGCGAACATTCTGAGATAAATCATTCTTGCAATTGCCATCAATCCTCAAGATCCTTTGATCCATATACAGAATATAGAAATTATGTGGTGTCATCAGAAATTTAAACTACAAAAGCATCATCTAACAAGTAGAAGGTTTTTGGGATGGATGCTTATTTAAATTGATGTTTAGATATCATTCGTCACAATAAAAAGATAAATTTTTTGGCGCTACTTCATCTTTCCACCCCCCTTCCGAATAACTACGTACAAAATTTTTTAAAGTGAACGTAGTTATTCGGAGGGGGGTGGAAAGATTGAGTAAAGGTAAAAAAAGAATTATTTTTTAACCCCCATTATGGATCAGCCAGAAGAAATAATTTTATGTTTTAAATATAGTGAAGATTTTTTTCTAAAAAATACCAAGACAATAGAATTTTTTTGTAAATTTAATCTTATAAAAAAAGAAATGGGTTGTGTGAAATGTGATAACAGAATGAGGATTGTGGTTACTGCCACGTATATAGGCGGGTATGCTTACAGATGCTCTTTAAAGTCATGCAAATAAAAGGCAAGCCTAAAGAAGGGGTTTAAAATGGCCCCCTGAATATGGAGTTTGTAAAAATTCTTAGGGGAATGTATTGCTGGGTATATGATTATACCCCAGCGCAGGCCATTGATTTCTGCGATTGTTCGGAGACTACCTATATTAAAATCAAAGATTTGATTTTGCAAGTAACTTCTGAACAAGAGCCAGAAATGGTTAAAATAGGTGGAGAAGGTATTGGGGTGCAGTTTGACGAAACTGCTATCTGTAATGGGGAGTTAATACCTAATCCATCTA